ATATGGTCTTCCCGAAGAAGAGATGGGTAAACAAATGTATTGTAAATGGTAGATAAAGAAGACGTTGCGTGAGGAGTAAACCTCTCTCACGCTGAACTATTATATACAAGAGTAGAAGCATTTGCCAGCCGGAATTGATCGTAATCAATTCTTGCCAACATCTTCGCATTGATGGCTGTGTTCTTGTCCTTCTCTTCATGACTCCCTTGTATATCCTTACATGACGTTTTACATGAGTAATTGTATAGGGGAAGCTATTATTAAATTGATGTCTTTAATTAACTACCCCTTCATCTTATCACGAATTAAAATTAGTATTAAAATTCTAATTACGGATCCGTGAAATCATGACACCTCGGACTAGCATTTTCTGCGAGATGATCGATAAGGTAATCCTAACCGGACTGCGTGCTGCCCTCCCGGTAATGAGAACGACACCGAATCCTGTTCTCCACCGCGAAGGAGGCATTGCAACAGGAAAGATTATTCTGGAAAGGAACTGACTACGGCTTTCAGCTCGGCTCCACTCACTAGAAAACTGCCATGCGCTCCGGACTCGCGCCGCTATGCTTCCAAACGATGGAACACGGAAATACAAGAAATGTTCTCGGGCGCCCAAGAATCCAGAGATCCACATGTCACGAGTACAGCTTGCTTACCGAGAACTCCCGGATGCGGAAGATGCTGCGCCTTTGCCACCCCCAAGCTATCTTTCGAGTTTCAACTCAAGGATAGAGGAGGAAGAGAAAGCAACTAGGTTCATTGATAGTGTGCCGGCATCAGATATTTGCGCCTACCGGGATGGATCGTCGGAGGGTAATGGTCGCTCAGCATGGGGGTTTGTCTTGAAGAGGAATGGAAAAACTTTGTTGAAGGGATGTGGCATCGAGCATGGTGGTGAAATGCTTGATGCGGAAATACTAGGGGCGAGGAAGGCCCTGGAAGCTGCGCTGGAATTGTCGGAGGGGGAGAACGGGGGAAAATACGGCAGGCAGCAGATCAATGTATTGACGGATAGTCAGTCTGCAGTGAAAGCACTGCTGACGGGAATTGCCACAACAAGCCTCGACGACGTACGCCAATTTAGGGCGCTATCGAAAAAGGCTCTAGTCTCGGTGAAGTGGATACCGGCCCACTCCGGGATACAGGGAAACGAAGATGCAGATAGAGCTGCACGCTCCGGCCTCCAACAACTGCCAAGCAAAGACAGCCAGCCTATCTCCGTCACAATGGCGTACGTTCGTCGGCTCATGAACCGGAAACGTCAAGCGCTTCTCGACGACTGGTGGGAAGAAGTATGTCCACCTAGGTTTCGAAATCTGGGTCTCCTCATGCGACGACGCAAGCCACGCGAGCAGACACTTTCCCGGCGGCTACTCCATAAACTGATCTCAGCCCGTACGGGCCACGGAAACTTCGCGGCATATCATCGCCGCTTCAACAACTTCGCCGCTTCAATGGAGTGTGTTTGTGGAGAGGAAACATCACCTCTCCACTTCATTCACTGTCGACTGCACGTACGCCAAACGCGTCGACTACGAGGGAAAATGTCATATCACGACTTTACTCACAAACCTCTCGGGCCAAAGTGCCTCGAAAACTTTAAAAAATTTGCGCAGGAAACTGGCTGCTTCGGGGGCCCACCTGCGACTCCTTCTCCAGCTCTCAGCGTAGACAGTAGTAACTAGATCATGCCACGAAGCATGATGGGCGGGAAAATGAGACGAGAAGTGTCATTTTCCAACCACAAACAGGAGTATGGGATTTGGAATTTTGGTTAAGGGAGTTTGTGCAGGCATTTATTTTCTTTATTATAACTAGCTACTTGTTGTGTAGTGAGTCACGCGGTAAGACCGAGTCGGGCATGTGGGAAGCATGATCTTGGCCGTGTGCACCGGTCCTTGACTCCTAGGAAATATTGAGCATAGCTTAGGACTTAAAAATTAAAAAAAAATTAAAAAAACAGCTGTCTGCCATAACAAAAACATATTTTCAACGACACTTGTGGCTGCCTACACAATTTTTCGCAATCGAAAGTGACGATATTGCATTCCATTTTCGACATTTTACTGCCACTTCCATTTCTCAATCACCTGTGCCGCCCCAGTCCTCCGCAGAGGCTGGCTCCTGGCCACCTTTCCCCACTCAACACGCGACACGCCAGGACGTCGAAATGGATCTCAACGATCCACAATACACACTACTGCCCACACCACACGACACCACACCAGACCCTGTCTGCTGCGCGAGTCAACAGCACTCTACAAATCCGAGCCCAAACCCCACGGCCGTCAACATGACCAACTTTCTCGCCGAACAAGCGAGGGCTTTCCAGGAACGTTTTGCGGAAGCAGAGCGCATTGTCAGCGGGTACTGCAACCTGCTCGAATCGACAGCAGACGAAGAGTTCCGAAAAGCAATCGAACTCACCGGTTTGGCTCTTCAAAGCCGGATCACAGAAATTCTGCGGGGCAATTCAGCCACCCCCAAAGCCACAGCACCAGCTCAAGCTGCTAGTGGCCACATCATCAAACCTCGCCCCGAGACAACTAAAGAGTCGAGAAAGAAGACTATTGGGAGCGTCGTGCATCCTGTACAGATCCTCGCCAGGGAAAACACGAGACTAGGAGTAGCCACACCACCGGCTGCTTCTGCAACACCAATCCCTACCCATGGGACAGAACAAACCACCAACCAGACTCCCGAGAGATCCTGGACAGAGGTGGTGCGAAAAAAGACTAAGCCAGCAACCACAGCTGCCACAAAAACAACCACTGGCCACACGCCCACATCAAAACTCAAGGCATCAGCAGTGATGCAGGAAAAAGCTGACAAGCGCGTATTCTTATGGCTCAAATCCGATCACCCGTGGAGACGCATGTCTCCACATTTCATAAAAATCGTGACAAAACCAAGCTGGTTGTAGTGTACTTTTAGAAAGATTAAACTATATGAAGAGAGAAGTATCACAACTACGGGCAATGACTATTTGTACATCCTTCTAGCTCATCCAGTACGTACTCTATTGGTGAGAATGTTGGAATTTGCCACATTTCTTACGATAATTGGCATTCCTTGCAAATATGAACAACTTTCCTGCATGCTGCACAATATATCCTGTATTCTACATTTTAGTTTCTTTTCGCTGTTGAGATATTCTCTCATACATTTGCACGAGCGGGGTAATATGATACTATATGCAAATGCAGTGAGAGATATGGTCACGTTTACTTTGCGACAAATAGGATGGCGTTAATGGTGCGGGGTCATTACTGTTTTATTCCTCGCACAATGGTTTCGTGGTCAGCTGTGCTGAAGACTTTTCACTGTAGTAATTGTTGTTTGCATACCCACTTTAACTCTAGGATATGCGCACATAAATTCGCGTCTTACATGTAACTTAGAACTTTAATGGAAACAATATTCTTTGAGCTATACTTTCTGCTCCTCTTACTATGAAATCGCAACAGAGAATGACATATTGCTCCGCCACTGCCCGTCATCATCTTTGCCATCTAGCTGACTCTCTCACTTGGCAATTCTACTTCGCCGTCTCACATTCCTTCCTAGCTTTAATGTAATGTGGCCAAGTGAAACTTAGTCGCTTGATACAAGATAATATGTAACACTCTCCCTAATACGCCCCCAAACTCCGCTTAGGTCTCCGCCTAAGCTAAACCACGGTCAAACCGTAACAAAAATAAACCTGGCTAGTAAACTACGCCTGGCCAACTCATCGATCAGACAAGTCACAGTCGTGAATTCTGGATTTGCCATTCAAGCTGACGGGGAAGTAGCAAGAAGCGCGCTTCTGACAGGAGCAAATACCCTAGATTGCTCTGAAATGAAGTTGGAAGCCGCGTCCAATTGGATATCAGTGCTTGCACCCAATATTCCAGACAGGCTATATACCCTCGAGGGACCAGTGCCAGTCACACCAGAAATGGTGATCGGAGAAGCCACCCTCAAAACTGGCGTCAGACCAACATCTGCTCGCGCTTTTGCGACTAGCACGGCGAGGCCATCTACAGACTAGGTGCTGCATTATGCGACAGGAAAACTGTTGTGCTGGTGATGGCAGAGACTAGAATATTCCGTGATACTATTTTGGGTAAATGAGGCGAGAGTCTAGCCACCTCAGATGTGTATATAATTAGTGCTTTAAACCTCCTAAATCCTCATAGTTCTGAGTATCAAATATATCAGCAGTTCATATTGATTCATTGATAATCATCCGTAAACCTTCTGCCAATTAAACTCCGTAAGCTCTTACCTTTACAACAGGTTATGAGCCCGGTGCTCGATAAGGTTACAACTGACTGATCAGACTATCGAAATAAATTTGTTCATTAGAACAACTGTGAACCCCTTCGACAATATACGCCGAGTTAACTTGTCCGACAGCACATCATTCAGCGATCGAACAGCCAACACTAGTCCAATTCATCGCCAATTATGAAGCAATAATGTCGCATTACAAGTTTAAGCTACGAGCATGGATTAAGGGGGAGTTCGAAGCACAAAGTAAAATAATCCAGCGCCTCGACGAAAGTAAAAAGCCACAGAGCTGCCAAAAATACTTATCAAAGGTATTACATTAAATTACAGCCAGAGCTAATGAGGTCGCGAGCATCCACCCCCATTCAGAAGCCTTTCACAGATAAAATGGCTAGACAAATGGAGGGAAACCAAGGCAGAGGCAAGTAATATTGCCTTGGAAAGAAAATAAGACCTGGAGGAAAATGATGCTTTCTCATACCCAGACGCAGCAGCAGCAAGAAAGGACGAGAATAACCGAAACCGACAATAGAAACATCGCGAGCTTAACATATCCCAGAAAATTGATGATAAAGATCAGGATTCGGACGATCCATGTACACCCTGCAAGCATGACCACGCCAATAAGGATTGTTACAAACAGCATCCAGAGCGGGCACATAAGCGCTGATTTAATAGAGAAGCACATAAAGGTCACAACCATGAAAAATCAGTATTAATAATCAGTCATAAGAACGAAACTTCTGAAGAAGAAGAAAGCTGCTAATATATAAAATTAAATAATGAATTATAATCAGAGGATTATATTTAAACAGCTCTGTCAAGAAGAAAACAGCCAACAGCCTATACCCCGGCCACATAAAGCTCGAGGAAGAAAAGGAACTGAAAGGCATGTTATGATTGGAGTTAAATCATTGGTTCAGAGGAACTTTCATATAAAAAAATAAATGAAGAATTGAATATTAATCAGAGGATTAAATTCACACAACTCAGTCAAGAAGAAAACAGCCAATAGCCTATACCCCGGTTACATAAAGCTCGTGGAAGAAAAGTTAATGAAAGGCATGTTATGACTGGAGTTATATCATTGGTTTAGAGGAGCCACAAAAGGGAGAGAAAAGAAAAGCAGCAAATGACACACTAGGAGCACCAATCGAAGATCACGATCACCAAATGGGGAGATTCTCAATCAGATGATAACAAGTTACACCATTCCGAATGTACGAGCTTATATAGACCAGCTATATCAATTCCACCCGCATGGAGATGGTTAGAGAGTACTCACCATCAGGGGGAGTGTTGTGCTGGTGATGGCAGAGACTAGAATATTCCGTGATACTATTTTGGGTAAATGAGGCGAGAGTCAAGCCACCTCAGATGTGTATATAATTAGCGCTTTAAACCTCCTAAATCCTCATAGTTCTGAGTATCAAATATATCAGCAGTTCATATTGATTCATCGATAATCATCCGTAAACCTTCTGCCAATTAACCTCCGTTAGCTCTTACCTTTACAACAAAAACCAAAGCTTGGTGAACGACAATTTGAAGAAAGTGGTCGGCTCCACGAACTCCAGCGCAAGCCAAAAATCGCTCAATGCAACCGATGTTGGGGACACCACTCTACAAAGATCTGCTCGCAAGCAGAACGCTGCTCAAGATGCGGCTCCATCGAGCATAATGCCACCGATTGCAAGCAGGCTATCCCGAGATGCATCAACTGCCATGGACCACACTCTGCCGTCGAGCCTAACTGCATGGCAAGGCCGACGCGGGTTGGTGGCAAAACGGTACAGCGCACAAGAGACCAGCTGACGGTAATTCGCGAACAAGGTCAAAAGTAACGGAACGCTTCGATCAGAGAGAAGGAAGCAAAGGAGAAAGCCACCGAGGCTACTGCCGAAAACGAAAATACAAACGTTGCTCAATGCCCATAAGGGACCACAACCCAACTGAGCTTCAAAAAATGGCAACAACAATATCGTTCCTTTGCGCTAATCTGGGCTGAGGAGACCCGGCTACGGAAATCATCCTGCAATCCGCTTGGGATTCAGGAACCGATGTCCTACTTATCCAGGAACCCTGGACCCAAAAAAAGGACGGCTTCTGGCTCACCAAGTCGCATCCCGGATTCGATGGGCATCTGCCTCCCTGTGTTGCTGCCAACTCTTCAAGGCCACGCTCCCTCATCTACACGCGAAAAGGGATCCATTGCCAACAGCAAGCAATCTGGGAGACATCACCAGATCTCACTGCAGTAAAGGTAGAAGGAGTCACATTTGTCTCCGTATACCGCGCTCCTGGAGCACACCTTTTGCCGCTGCTACCATGGACTCCATCTGGGCCTACAGTTATTGGCAGAGACTTCAATGCTATTCACACCTACTGGCAGCCAATGGCTACTAGGCTACACGGTGACGGCCATGTGCTCACTGAATGGATGTTCGAGCACGGTATGGAGTTATCTTCTACACCAGGCGTCCCGACACACGATCTCGGAAATACACTCGACCTAGTCTGGTCTAACGCTTGTGCCCTTGCAGATATTTCGATAGAGCTTGACTCGACATCGGATCACAGAACTCTTGCAGGAGACGTTCCCCGCCCGAACTCGAAAGCCATAGCTATTATCAAAACTGGCCAACCGGTGCGAGTGATAGACGACGCCCTCGAAAACTTCGCCAAGGTACTAGGTAGGTGGGCCCTTGGAATAGGGTTAAATCCATTGGACTCAATAAGCGCGGTAGACAACCTCGCTGATAAGCTGGTCCAAACCATTAGCGATGCAATTGGGGCTACCGGAAGACGCGGGAGTGCGAAGAAGGGTAGGACGGCACCTTGGTGGACGATAGAGTGCGCACAAGCCAAACGCGAATACAAGATATTCAGAGACGAAGAGGGCAGAAAGGATTTCCGTCGCATAGTCAGAAGTGCGAAACGCCAGTACTGGCGGCGGAAGTTCTCCGAAGCCACAACTGATGTCGACATGTATCAGATGGCACGTTGGGCAAAGCCGCAACCTACATCTGCTACTCCACCACTCCAAACTCCGGATGGTTTTGTCTCGGATCCAGGAAATTGTGCACTTCTATTGCGTGATCTCCTTCTCGGCCGGTTCACTAGCCAAAATGACGTGGACACCGAACACCTCGAGCCGGGACGCGGAAACCTTCCATGGGTCTCGAGCGTCACAGACAAAGAAGCCAAGTGGGTAACAACGGCCTGCCAGAATAAAGCCCCTGAAGCAGACGCAATTTCTGTTCGTCTTCTTAGGACAGCCTGGCCGTCAATTGGACAAGCAGTGAGAGTATTCTTTGAGGGCTCACTTCGACTGAATCATTTTCCGAAGGTATTTAAGCTAGCCGAAGTGATTCTCCTCCCCAAGCCTGGCCGAAATCTCAGTATAGCTAAAGGATGGAGGCCCATCGCACTAATTTCCTCTCTCGGCAAAGGTCTTGAGAGACTAGTTGCAAGGCGAATGGCTTACACCGCCATTTCGTACAAGGCCGTGCCGCAGCAGCTTTTTGGAGCACTCTCCGGCAGATCAGCTAATGACATCGTCTCATGCGTCATCCACGATGTGGAGCATGCAATGAAGAGGCAGAAGAAAGCAGTCCTTGTCACTCTGGACGTACAGGGTGCATTTGACGCTGTATTCCACGGACGACTGCTGCAAAGGATGAATAAAGTTGGGTGGCCGAAAGCAGCTATCACTTGGATAGAGTTTTTCCTGGACAAACGATCCGTCCGCGTCAGACACGAGAATGGAGTAACAGACCCAATTCACCTAGAATGCGGGCTGCCACAAGGGTCGCCTTTATCCCCAATTCTCTTCCTCCTTTACATGGCCGAAGTCGTGGGGAGCAGTAGTTGGAGATTCGGCTATGCAGATGATGTTGCTATCCTCGGCATTGGCTCAACTCCGAACGAAACCGCAGTAGCTGTCCAGCGAGAAGTCGACGCAGTCCTAGGGTGGGCTGCTGAAAATACCGTCTCCTTCGACCCAGAAAAGGTCGAAGTAGTCTACTTCGTCGGCCCTAGATCCAGGGGTCACGATATTCCGGCTATAAGGGTAGGCACTCGCGATGTACAAGCATCCGATGGTATCCGATGGCTCGGAGTACACCTTGATCGCGGTCTGACCTTCGAAAGCCACGTTGCAAAGTGGATCAGCAAAGCAATGCGGCTAGTGCAACACTTCCGACGGCTCACTCATTGCACCCAGGGACCAAGGCCCGACTTACTAACCACAGTGATCCGCACGGTATTCCTGCCAATCACGATACACGCAGCGGAATTCTGGTACCTGTGGCCAACCAGGGAAACATATCGGGGTGTCGCGCGCAACTCTTGCAAGAGACAGTGCAAAGTTATTGACCAAAATTCTGCCTTAGGAATTCGCGTGGCTGTTAGAGTATAGAGAAGACTTCGGAGTAAGAATTGCCTGAGAACGGAGAAGAAGTTCAGTTTGCTTAATTGACTAATAGACTACAGGTATTATGATATATACAGTGGAATTATAAGAAATAGAGGTTACCCGGAACCGACTCGACTGCAGAAATAAGTGGGACCCCATACCAGAAAATAATTATCCACTGACTGAGGATACTGGGTCACGCAATAGAAGTACGAACAAAACAACGACTGGATTTGTTCGGGAAGAATGGGATTCAAGCAGACTCTAACGTTGAGTCCGATTGGATCAGAAGTGTGGGATCCTGCCCGAACTCAGAAATATAGTTCAGGCAAGATGCATGCAACCACATTGGTCGATAGAAAGAAAAGCAGGAAACTGTATTTCCAACAGTGGCTCTACCAACCTGGCGCACCATGCCCATCGCAGCCCTGAGAAGGGAGATTGGCATTCTACCAGCACACATTCTGCTTGAGGAACGCAGGCTCAAGACTGCTGCACGAATCCGAAGACTAGATGAGTACCATCCGCTTCGACTTCGGGCCACGGAAAGCACTGACAGCGCTCGTCGCCGACTAGGACTCAAGACATGCAACAAAACCAGACTTGGTCTGGATAGAGTTCATGATTCGAGGGTCCAGAGGATGTATCGACTTCTGCCAGAGGCTGAACTACCTCCACCGCTCCGACCTCCGGTCCCCCCTCAGCCAATTCCCTGCTGGACAAGCAAGAAAGAGGCTGCCAAGTTTATAAGAGAGTGGCTGCCTACACTCCCACCCGACTGTCTCTGCGTGTACAGTGATGGTTCTGAGGCGTCCACCGACAAAGTGTCATGGGCCTTTGTGACGTTTATCAGTGGCACAGGCACGGCAATCGAGCAAAGCGGCTCAGGCAAAACTACCAATGCGGAGGTGTACGACGCGAAGGTTCATGGAGCTTTGGCTGCTCTAGAAGCAATCACTGCCAGCAGTCAAGATCGAGGACGCAGCGCCATCTACATCCTTCTCGACAATTCTGCGGCTGTTCGGGCTTTACTGACGGGAACAACAGGCTCATCATCCTGGCATATCCAAAAGTTCATGAAACTGGCCGCGGGATCAGCGGCGCCTGTCAAAATAGGATGGATTCCGGGCCACGAAGGGCTGGCAGGAAATGAAATCGCCGATGGACTCGTTCGAAGAGAGCTTAACTCGCCGGACAACTCTAGGACGACACATGATGTGATGACCCTCGCCTCATATAGACGGAAAGCCCGTGAACTGTCCAGGCAGATGTTGACAGACTGGTGGCACTCGAATAGCCCGAAACATTACGCCGACCTTGAACTCGATATGCGCCGCAAGAAACCGCCAGAGCTAGCGCTACCCAGAGCGGTCTTCGCACGCTTGATCGCTGCCCGAACTGGACATGGGGACTTTGCGGCATATCATCGCCGCTTCAACCACACTGACGCTACACTTAACTGCGAGTGTGGGAGGG